TGTTCCTGTGGTGGCAAAGCTGGACAGGTGAGGAGGCTGAGTGCAGCTGGTGGGCTGTTCAAACCGCTGAAGGACCCGCCCCCTGACCAATCGTGTGGCAGGAATCAGGCGAGGCAGCCAATCCGCGGTCACCACCTTCTCCTAATCCACTCATTCAGAAACCAGGAACACACACACACACACACACATACACACACACTGAGGAGAGACAGCAAGCAGCACAACACAAACACACATCGACTATAAAGGACCCACAGGGTGGTAACACAGAGCCTCTCTGTTGAACCACAGCAACCATTCATAGAGGGTTTCTCATCAATTGTAATGGTCACATAATGAGAAATAAAGGACCTTTACCATCTTAAATGACAACTCGTACACACGTCTTCACATGTTCACCTCTGATTTATTTCCAGGGTTTCATGTGTGGAAGGGCCATGGATGTTTTTAGGCTGTCTTTTAGAGCTCATCATCTGTGACGGCTGATTTTATCCCTCCTGTCATTCATTTATTTCCTCCAAGACAGCAAAACACATTAGAGGAGCCTTTACAATGTCTGGCAGGTTAAACTGGGCGAACAAAACACTTTCAGATGAACTGCTCATGATAAATGGACTGAAAACACCTGCTAGCTGAGCAGCTTCAAGGCTACAGATAGGACTTATTCAAAACCAGCATCTGAATATTATTTGTCCTGTCCTCTGATACATGATGGCCTCTGCTGTGTGGTGGAAAACTCTCAGCAATAGTTTTTATGCTCATTTGGCTGCTGTGTTGTGTGAAACCTCCTCAGTGCTGTACTGAAGTCTCTTAAGTCTTCCAGCGGTTTCCTCTTACCTGTAGTTGTATTTACTGATGTATGGCTTTTCAGCGGAGTCCTAACTGCTCCAAACCAGCACACATCTCTCAAGTCATAACAAGCTTTACCTGCAGCCAGGAGCCACATGTGCAGCACAGAGTCTGAACGAGTGACTGACTAAAGCAGGAAGCGTTGGTTCTTACATACAGACAGTGAAGAGAAAACAGGAGATGAATGGGTGAGAATAGGCACAGCTCTCGTGGTGTTTAGAGGACCTGCTAACAACAGCTTGTCCTGATCTCACACTCACAAGGTTCAGGAGAGGAGATGGACATTTCCAGCATTAACTCAGAGACCTTTCACCAACATCACTGGATCAGAACGTAGAATTATTCCAACAATGACCCTGGAGCTGTGTACTCTGTGCTTTCTGTGTTTGTTGAACCAGACGGTCCTTCTAC